TATAGCAACTTAGTGAAGTAAATAAGTTAAATTGTTAATCTTCAAATAGTAGATTTTGAGTTTAAAAGCTATTAATAGTAAAATTTAAACAATTATCTATATAATATTTATATTATGATAACTATTTTTAATGATTAAATTAAGATATTTGTAATTATAATTATACTAATATAACTGACAGATTATAAAGCATTTGTGTAATTAGTTATACAAAAAAATACAAATTAGCATTAAGTGATGCAAACTTAAAATAAGTTATTATAATTGTATAAATCTGTAGAAAATAAAAAACTAAAAGCCTATTTAAAAAGATTTGAGCAGAGAAGTTATACAGATTTTTAATAATAATACTGTAAAGGTTAGACTTAAAAAACAGATACTAATATAAAGAAGCTAAATAGCAAAAACTTTAGTTAAGATTGACTATCAACTAAGTTAAAATTGAACTAGAGAAAAAAATATTAAGCTAACTTAATATACCAAAAGATGAGCCACAATTCTATTATATTATTTGGATTAAAAGTTTAAAAACAAAAACAAAAATATACTAAAGTATTTTAAATATGCTATAAGGTAGTATTAAGATTTAGATGAACTTTATAAAAGCATAGTAGTTTAATAGCTAGCTCTAATTACAAGTGTTAGTTCAGTTATAGCAACTAAGTTAGCTATAAAATAGATATTAAAAAACTTTAAAAAATTTATTTTAAAAATAAATTAGTTTTAAAATTAAGATAATAATTTAGACATAATCTAGTAAAGTTAACACAGATTACAAGTTTAGAGAATTTAAAAAAAAACATTTAAGCAGAGATAATAGATATGACAATTAGTAAAAAAGTTTTGAGTAAACTTCTTAAATAAGTAATATAAAAAAGTTATATATATAGTTAATTGTATACTTTTTTTGTAATAATTTTATATAAAACTATATTATCAAAAATGTTAATAAAAGCCAAAAGATCTAAAAGATCATTTTAAAAAAAAAATAAATAAACAAACAATATTTAAAAACATTATTTTAAATTATAGTTTAAATTAAATATAATTAAATTAAAAATTAAAATTATATATTTTATATTTATATAATATAATCTAAATAATAATAAAAAAAACTAAAAATAATAAAAAAAATTTTTAAAAATTATTTTTATATTATAAATCTTATAATAAATTATAAGAAAATGCAAGCTTTAAATAACTATTATAAATTAAACAGATAAATAAAAAGTGAATAATGGATAAATATAGAAAATAAATTTGCTATTATTTTATTATATATTTGCTAAATAATAACAGTATAACAGCAATATAACACTTGTGCTAATGCATTTTTGCTCAACTAAATTATTTAAACATCTACTAATCAAATCATCTTTAGCAAATTACTTAATCTTGATATTTATCAAAAAAATGATCTAATTTATAAAATTTTTCATCATCTAGTTATCAATCCTCTATACATCTTATCTAACACATTTTATCCTAACCTTACTTTCAAAAGACTTATTTCAAAGTCATTCATACAAACAGTTCAAAACTCTAACATATTATATAAAACTGCTTCTCAAATTATTATTAATATTCTTTTTAATATTAATAAACAATTATATGAACAATTATGAAAAACATATTGTATTCATTTTTCTAATTAAAAAAAATAATAAAATAAACCTCAATCTTAACCAATCAACAAACCTTTAATATCATTTAACTCAACAACTAGGCATACATGTTTTTGTAAAAACTATACTTATTTATGTTTTTGCAAACTTCCAGATCAACTATATACTCACTTTAACATATACTCTCCTATCAGCCAAGCAATTTACAAAATCAATATTTGGTTTATTTTATAAATCAAATATAGCATATTATCAAATTATATACTAAACATTCAAATCTAGGTGAGCTTTGACCACTATAATAGGTTTAGATTGTAGATAAATTAGTCTGAACTTTTATTCTTACATGTAATTTTTAATTTATTTGTTTTGTACAAATAGTAGTAGCTGTATAGTTAGTGTTTAATAGTTAGTCTTAACTGCAAATGTTGGTTTCAGCATAGCATATATACATGTAAATATTTTAAATTATTAATAAAGATATAAGCAAGGCCTCACTTTAATACAAAAAAAAAATAACAGTAATATAACAGCAAAATAACAATAAAATAACAAGAGATTTGTTAATATTAATAATATATTAGTAAAATAATAAAACAGTTTTATTATTTTACTTTAGTTACAAAAACTAAAAGTAAAATAATAGAACTGTTTAATAATTTTACTAATATGTTACTATTATATTACTAATATTGACAAAGTTTTGTTATTTTACTGTTATTTTACTATTATATTGCTGTTATGTTATCATTATTTGGTAAATATAAAGTAGAATAATGTTAAGTTTTTTCTTATTATTTACAAATTATTTACTTTTTATTCATTGTTTGACTTATATATATTGCAAAATTTTATTAATATAATTAGTATTTTAAATAAAAAATAATTATAATTTTATTTTAACTTAATTTATATAAAAAAATTTTTAAAAACTTGTTTTTTTTAACTTTTTTTAATATCTAGTTTATATAATTATAATATATAAAAATTAGATATTTAAAGTTTAAATAAATAATAAAAGCAAGAGAACTAGAAATAAATATAAAAACCAAAAAAACTTATTAAGAATATTTGAATACAATACCAGAATATGGAAACTCTTAAAAACATGTTTATAAAAAAATAGGTCTAATATACTTAAATCAGATATTTAAAATAAAAGATAAAAACTAATTATATAGCAACAGTTCAAAAATTACTAAAAATAGTCAAACAAAAGCAAAAAAGTAAAATGAGTTAAAAAAATAAAGTTAAAGATGCTCAAAAAGCTATCAAACAGAGAAGTTAAAGAACACTTTAAAACAAGCAAACATAGTACTTAGGCAATAAGAATAGAGTAAAAGTATATGTCAAAAAATAAAAGAAGAAAAAATTAGATAATATATGATGCATAAGACTATAGGTAGCTAGAAAAAATAATAAAGAAGAAAAAAAAATTTTAGTAAAACATTGGCAAATATAAAGCAAAGAGAATAAATTAATAACAGAAATTAGCAAATGTAATAGATATACAAAAGAAGAACAGATAAAAAGCAACTGCCAGCAATAGATAAAAATAAATAGCAAAATTAGAGTAATTTCTAATACATTAATATAGAAAAATAATAGTAAGATCAAGTGAGCTATAAGCCAATTAACAAAAAAAGTAAAAACAGATATAGATACTATCTGAATAGACAAAAACCTCTAGATAAAGAGTATCACTAACTAGGCTGTCAGAATTTTAACTAAAAAGACTAAAAAAAAAGAATATTAGGTTAACTTAATATACTGATAAATTGATTATAATTCTACACAATCTATCTGGATTGGAAGTCTAAAAACTATAACAAAAGTATACTAAAGTACTAGAAATATGTTGTGAAGTATGTACTGGAGTTTGGATAAACTTTGCAAAAGCATAATCCTATTATAATCTGTAGAATGAGTAGATAAATTAACAAGAAGGCCTCCTGTGTCTTGTTGCCAGATAATGGATATTGCTATAATCAAGGTATCAGTACAAAAAAGAATGATGTCAAATCTGAATAGTCATTAATAGAAGGCAGCAACAGAGTTGTTTAGTCTTAGGTTGAGATAGTTAAAGATAAACAGACACTAATAAGATAAAATATATATGTACTTAGAATATTACTAATTAATAAAATTGTCAGTTTGGCTAAGTAATTGACTGCTTATTAAAAATAAAAATAAAATTAGTTAGATTTTATATTTATAATTTTGTAATAATTTATAATAAATTTCTATTTAAACACTAGTATATAAAACATAAATATATTTATATTTCAAAATTTTAATAATAAAACATCTTTTAGAATTCTAACAAATATTTTTTGTAAAATTTTAGTATAAACTATAACCTTTTCAGCCCTATAGCCAACCTTACTTTAACTTTAAATCAGATTTAATTTTTTGGTTTATAATTTTACCTTACAAAAATTTTTTAAATAAATAAATTAATACTAGTATATATAACACCCCATATACAATTAGAAATTCTGATTTATATATATCTATTTATATTAAAGAAGATTCAAATTTTGAATTATATAATTTATTTAAACTTTATAATTTATTTATTTAAATTTAATTTAATTAATTTAATTTAATTTTGTTTAAATTTAAGTAATGTATTTAAATTAATTTAAAAAAATTTAAATAAATATATATAGTTTAACTTTAAATAAATTTTAAATAAATCTAAAATAAATCTAAGAAAACCGAATTTAAGTTCAAATAATTCGAGATTGGGTTCAATAATCTAAGTTGGATCCAATTAGTTTTAGATTAAATCTAATAAATCTCATTTAAATTTAAAATAATTCAGATTGGATTTAAAAAATTCAAGTTGGATTCAAGTATAACCGAATTGGATCCAAATAATTTTAGCTTGAATCTAATTGATCTTAGAATCTAAATTCAAATCGGATCCCGGGTTGGATTCAAGTAAATTCAGGTGACCCTAAATTGGATCCAGAATAGATTCAAATTTGATCTAACTTAAAAATTTAAATACGGTGCAATGTCCGGGGTCTAAAAGCTAGTATTCTAAGTAAAGATGTTTTATACTCTCAAGTCGTTATCCTAAGCCCTAATATTAATACTAAATATTAACCTTAAACGTAAAAATTAGCATTAAAAATTTTAGATAATCTATAAAAACTTAAAAATAATGTCAAACCATCATAGATACGTTTTTTAATTAATATTGTTTTTTATTTAAGCTTTTTACTAATACAAAACTATATTTGAATTAACTTCTTACAGTTATTTTAAACCATTTTATATACTAATTTAATATAATATTAAAGCAAATACTAAAAACAAGATATTATACAAAACAAGCAAAATATGTTCAAATAATAATTTTATTATTTATTCACTTTCTTTATATGCGATAGCAAGCAAAGACCATCCAACCAAATCCCATGGTGCAATTCTGATAGCTCGCTGAGCAATTTCCAAGGCATTTAGTCCAAGTTTTTTATATTCCCCTTCTGAACCTTTATCCTTTTCATCTTTTTTGTTATGATTTTCAATATCATCAAATGGCTCTTTAATTATGCTACTATCACTTATATCTTCTCCAATTGTGATTAAATCCTGTTTAACAGCTCGCCTAGAAATCAACAAAGCAGTAGTATAATTTTGATATACCTTCGCTTTTTCTTTAGTTGACAATTGCTTAGATAAAGAAGATAGTGGGTTTGATATCTGTTCCATTGCAGAACCAGCTATTGAAGCAGAAGTAAATGGAATCGAAAGAGAAATAAGATGATTTGTTAAGTTAATCCAATTTATTAGTTCATAAGGTCTAAGAAGGATTGATTTAGAGAGAGATTGTGTAGCTTCTTCAGGTAAATTCTAAAAAAAAAAAAAAAACTATGTTAAATAATAGACCTTGTAATATGTATAACCAAGCATGATTGTTCACCTGTAACAAGAAGTATCTACTAGACAAGAAATCTATATCACGTTCCCGGTCCAATTTGTCTTGATTTTAAACAATAAAGTAAATGATTAATGTTATATAAATAGCCATAAAAACAACCTAGAATAACAAATCTTCCCGAACTGAATAACTTTTATTAGCAGCTCAAAGAAGACTCTTAGTATCACAAAGGACGCTTATTTTGGGTACAATCAAACCTCCCAAAGTAGGGATTAAATTCACTAAAAAAGCCATATAGTAAATTACTATGCTTAGTCAACTAATTAGCCGACTAGATCAATTCCAATCCCTATCCCTAAGTGCACTCCTTTTCTAAATACACACTTAAGCTTAGTCCAAGCTCGGAATTTAGTGCTAAGTGCGTACCTCTATTCTCAAAAAATCTGAGACTAGGTATATGTGTATCCTCCGTATATGCACATATGATATTTGACCAATAAATACGGAATTTATAATAGAATTTATACCCACTCTAAATGTACAACTTATTTTAGTTCTAAGGGATGCATTTACTAAAATTTGAATTAATCATGTGTATATTTTCTTGCTTTTGATTGGCTAGTTTAATTTCCCATAACTACACACTTCTAAACACATGCACTTAGTGAGGTTTGAATGTAAATAAATGGAGTGTTCATTTTTAAAGGAATGTGATTATCAGATCTCATTAAATGTCTTTCAATAAATTACAAACTATTAATGCCTTCGATAAAGGCACATGGAACATTTAATAAATTATCTATATAAAAGCAGACCACCTTTAAATACAATTATATTATGTTCCAAGGAACTTGTATCTAGGAAGGTCTGACGACATAATCAATAAACCAACAAATGTAAATTCTTACCAACAACTTTAATGGGTAATTTAGCCATCTCTCTTAATGCTGCAGTAGCCAGAGTATCATCATCTTGTAATATTCCTATAGCACACAGGCCAAATATAGCAGGAAGATGTTGTGGATTTTGTGAAATACTATTAAGTGTTAAATGAATTAATATTATTGTACCTATAAAATACGCAACCAAATTATAAAGTAATATTGAACAAATAATAACTAACCATCTGAACAATTCATCCTTCGCCATATTTTTGTGATCGACACCACCTAACGCCCAAAGTACTTGTGATACCAAAACAACTACATCTTTCTTAACTTCAGCAACGTTTGATTCCTGTTCAGGATCATCAGCTGCATTAAGAGCAGCTTCAAACATTTGAAGGGAATTTTCTAATTCATCGTTAAAATAATAAGCAAGTCCAGCTCCTAACATTGTATATATTTTAAATGATACCATCGAAGCTGATAAACCATTCTCTTGTTGCTCAATCAATTTCAAAGTTTCCGTATATGCTATGATGGAACTAGAGAAGTTACGTGTTGCACAAAGTACTCTCCCAAGGTTTCCTTGTGCGTACGCGAGCCTTCGAAATAACACTGTCTGCTTCGATTGCGGTTCTTGCAAATCTTCAGATAATGTTCCCGACCGGAATGTTGACTGTTCCTTTTGAAGTGATTTTTTAATTGCAACGATCACATCAGTGAATACATCAACGGCTCTATCTGGTCGATTAAGTCGTTCAAACAATAAACCTAATAGATTTAATGATGCAGCATCATCCGGTCTTTGTTCTGAAAGTTTTTGCAATGCAAAAGTGGGAGACATTAACAAAGCTTTGTGCACTGGTGAAGAATTTTTATATCGTGTAAATGCCTGATATGCAAAGCCATAATCCGCTTCGAGCTACGAAAAAATCAAAAATTATACTCGTAGTTAATAAGCAAATTAATGAAATCAGTTTAAATTGTCTAGAACTGATAACATACTGAATGACCACCACCACTAATTTCATAAGCATGTTCAAACAATTCTGCAGATTCATTACTTCCCCAAAGATTTGCAACATAAGCTTGCCCAACCCACGCCGGTGCATAATCCGGGTCAAGAGATTGAGCCGTCGAAAATGCTTGATTAGCAAGGTCCAAATCTGAATGTAATAAATATAAGAGTCCAAGATTTGTCCACGGAACGGGACTCTAGATTAACGTGAATAAGTTATTATCACACCATTTAACAAAGTTTGTACAATAATAAATTCACACACATACTTTTGGAGAATAACCAATTGCCTTAATGAACGCGTGTTGGCTAATTTTGGTATTTACCAAAAGAGTCATAACACCGAGCGAATTCCAACATTGGAAATTCGTTGGCTCAAATTTCAATGCTATCTTAATGCACCTAATTCCAATACTCAAATACTTTGTCACTAAAGTTTCATAAACATGATCATCTACATTCTCTCCAATATTCTTAGAATAGTGTTCATACGACTTATAATAAGCCACACCCAAATCAAACCACAATGCAGGAGCGGTATCAGGTCGATTTCCACTCAGTATGATGGCATATTTGTATGAGAGACAACCACAAGTTAGAATGATTCGAAGCATATCGGAATTTGTTATATCTTTGTTAGAATCTAAATATATACTATATCCAAGATTATCAATATCATTGGGAAGATGTAATTTAATGTCTATATCTAATTTTTTAGCGATTCCGATTAGACTTTTAATTGGAGCCAAAGGTACCAAATGCAAATAATTTGGCAATGATGTCGAAATGATGCAAAAATCACCGATTAATTTCCAAAGACACAGATATTTGCTGTTTGTCTCTATCGCACGTGCTATTGTTGCGATACCATGACCTAATGATTCAGCTGCACGACCGTAAAATCCGGTGTGAAAATATTCTATGGATAAAGACAGATAACAATTTCCAAGACCTTCCAATGACGGTATGTGATTATGTTCACCTTTAAGTTCCGCTTTTTCGAGAGTCAAATTATATTGATCGATTGCATCAGTATACATGCCCAATTTTTGCTTTACTGTAGCAATCTGATAATGAGCATATACTGACGAAGGATCCAACTCAGTCGCGCGCAAAAAAGCTTTCATTGAGGCTATATACCGACCTTCATGACGATAAGCTTCTGCAAGTCCTTCCCAACAACGAATATCCTTAGTATCAGTTCTCAAAGCGGTCTGAAAATCTGTTATTGCTTCGGAATAATTTCCTTTAGCCTACATTTTAAAAATTTAAATTATTCATATAAAATTAAAAGGACTTAGATATCAATAAATTACCGTAATGCACTGACTAAAGGATCTGAAGTCTAACGAATAATACCAAACAAAATTTATAAAACATCCATTATTTTGACAGCAAAAGATTTATATCGTAAAAAGAAAAGTATAAAGTTCATAATTCTGAAAAACCTGTAATTGATTAATAAAAATCCTGTTGTTTGCACCAGACATTTTACAGGGGAATGGCGAAAAAGGTATTTAGTCAGTGCACTACAATATATAAATTTATTACCAACTCCGCAAACCCCAATCGTTTCCAGGCCCATCCAGCCCTACGATTTGCTTGAATTACAGTACGATATATGCCCTCCGCAATATTCCCTTCACCTTCAGACTGGAAATATTCACTTAATTCTGATGCTGCTTCATCATCACATGCATCAATAGAAAATGCTTTTTGATAGCATTTCTTTGCACGCCCATGATCATGCTCAATAATTCGATAATAATGTCCGAGATAGGTAAACGATTTCGCAAAGTGTGAATCAAGGTTTACTGATTTGATGAACTGCACGTATGCGTAGTTCTTGTCTTTACGGTATTGTTCTGTTAAACAGTATAATACATCTCGATTGAGTCTTTATCATTATTACCATTTTAATTTTAATAGGATTCATACCACCCATGGCCCAATATATTCTGCCCAAACGATAAAAACAAAGTGCGCTTTCATCGTACATTTCAATAGCATCTAGAGTCAATTTAAGGGCTTCTTCAAAGTTCTCTGTTAAAAAATGGATCCATCCTATTTCACTTTTAGCTATATAATTTTCCGAGTCAAGTTGTAATATCTTCTCAAATGTTTCAACGGATTTTTCGAATTGCTTTTGTGCTGACAATATTATTCCAACCCCCTATTTAAAACAGAACTTTAATATCAATTAATTATAATTAACGTATATTAAAACTGTTAAATATATCACCTGAAGGGCAAGAATATGGTCTGGTTCTTTCCTCAAAATTTTTTGATAAAGTTGCAATGCATCCATATGGTACTTGACGTCAATATTAAGATAGCAATTGGCCATACACAATTCTAAAGATTGCAAAACTCTGGCAAAAGATAAATTGTTTAGCAAATGTAAGACATTCTAGAATGTTTTCTCAAATGTCCTACCTATCTAACTCGCATCCTGTGCTTTTACCGTACTTAACTACTATATTACGACCATTACTTGTATATTCTAGAGCTAATTCATAATCTTTGTAATCGTGATTTAACCAACTCAATACAAGGTTACCAAATATACTATTTGAATTTTCAAATCCATCCTAATTGAATAAACTGTTAGTTAGACTGCCAATGAATTTATAATATATAAAAGTTGTTAATTACTGAATTACATACAATTAATAGTCCGTTAGTTTCGGTATCGTCATCTTGCTTGGATTTGAAATATATTTGAATGATTTTGGACAATTCAGTATCCGGAAACTTTTCAGAATATTGTTCCAACATATTAACATCATATTCATCTAATTAAAATTTAAATCAACATATTATTTGAAAGTTATTTCTATTTATATTATGGTCCAACCTATTACCTGCGGAACCAACATTGGTGCTCTCAATAAGTATTTCATAAGGCATAGGCGAGGTTGTACCTTGTTCGACGAGCTTTTGAGCCAGCTTAAAAAGCTTTTCTCTCAACTAAAAGTATTCATCGAAATATAAACATCAATTTAGATAGTACAGGCACATAATTATAATATAAAAAAAAATTACAATATGAAAGATGGACCCACCGCTTGTTTATTTTCTGAAGGGATCGAAACAAGTTTTTTTCGAAGATGCTCAACATATTTGACCGATAAATTTGCAATGTTTACACCGGGAATGTTTGAATCATCCACAATTTCTAATAAAGAGTCATAAAAAGTTTCTAACTAATAATATAAGGATTTCAATTTGTATTTTGTGACAAAATAATTAATAAAAACAGAAATTTCACATTTAAACATACTTCGGAATTGCTATAAACCTCGTTCTCAACTTGAGCTTTAATGCTAGCTTGTGAACCAGCGTCAAGTCTTTTTCTCCTAGTTTCAATCTCGTGATGAATTCTTTCTTTTTCTTCTTTTTCCAATAACTCGATTATTTGCAGTAATATTTGCGTTTGTGATGGTAAATTATCAAGGTTTCGAACAGTTTCATAGTATGGACTCGATGGTAAATAATATTTTAGAGTTGCGACCAGCTAGAAAATAATTGTTCAGCTTTTGCATAGATAATTACAAGATTGAAAATGAAGCCTCTTTATTTAAGAGATTTAAATACCAGCTTCCGATCTTTTTCTTTATTTGTATATAAATCAACGAGTTTATTAATAAGATCTAAAGTCTTCTGTCCATCTTTACTGTGTTTAAGAAAATATCCTATTTTAGATTCAAATAAAGATAGACTTAAAATTAAAAAATAAGGTATTAAAACCTTTCAATATATATTTTCGATAATTGGGCCCAAGTTTCTGCCAGATTCGTCCAATCCTCTTGTTTTTCATAAAAATTTGCAAGGCCCTATTTAATACAACAATTAGACTATAAATAATGCGTAACCGTTAATTTGAATTACCTGCCAAGCAAGCGGTTGTGATGCATTTAATTCAATAGCACGAAGATAAGCCTGTTTGCTTTCATCAAGTCGTTGCAAATTTAAATGCGAAATTCCGAGAAATACATATCTAAACGTCGATAAAATAAAGCAAGTGAACACGACATTACAAGCTATATGTAAAAGGACGCCGGAAGTTGGCTTACGCGTTATAATTATCAGCCTCAAATTGTAAAACCTTTTCACAATGTTTTATTGCTTCTTCATACTTCTTAGCATTAATTGATTCTCGTGCATTTTTTAATGCATTTTTAATATAACTCATTTTTATTAATTTTTAAAACAGGTGAAAATTATCTTTTTATAATAGATTAGCAGTGTCAAGATTTAGCAGATCACATGAATACACCCAATCAAACTACAAAACTGGAAGAAAGCGGTTCTCATGACTTAACCATATCAAATTTTACAAAACTTTAAAAAAACTTTTAAGTATACAGTCGACTCTGGATATAATGAATATAACGAACTCAAAATTAAAAAATTTTTATAATAGTTCGGTATAGAAAGTGCAATGGGTTCTATAGTGAAGTTTTTTTCTTTCGGTTTTTATAGAAAGAGTTGATTGTCTTTATTATCCGATTTCCACCCTTCATTTTTGCTAATGCCACTCTTCAAAATACATAAAAGTGCTCTGAAAAAGATATTATTATTAAGTAAACCTCTTTTTTGATATTAATTAAAGTTGTTTATTTGTTAAAAATGGATTAAAGATTATAAAATTTAAGTATAAATATATTAAGTATCACCAGTCTGATCTTAATGATTTTACAATCATTAAAACTGGAAAGATCTAATAAACAACTTTAAGGGTAGGAGGTAATGTAGATTATTTCTATATAGAAATGTATGGTATTTTAAAATTTTCATCTAAAATTGATATATGTTATTAATAAAATTTTTTTATTTTTTAATAAATTAATAAAAAAATGTTATAATATTATAAATAAAATTATTTATTTATTATAGTAAAATTTTGAAGTATTGTATTATTTTAAAAAAATATATTTGTATATATTACAAAGTTTTCTGGGGTTTTCTAAAATTTGCTAGTTACACAAAATTATTAGATTTGATTGGTTAATTTATATAACTCTATAAGTTAACTTAATTAATAAATTTTATATCTAATCTTTAAAAAGTTATATCTTCTTGAGTTTTTATTCAATATTACTAATTTTACTATAATTAGAATCAGAAAAACCTATTCTACAAACTTTTTTTATAAATTAAAATTAGTTTACTTATTATAATTTTTTATAAAATTAAATATAAAAAAAAAATTATTATTAGATTTATATATAATTTTAAAATACTACTTCTTATCTTTAATTAATACTAAAAAAAAGATTTATTTAATAATTTTATTTTTTCTGGTACATTTTTTTGTATTTTTTTTTTTTAATGTTTAAGTTCCTATTTTCAGAATACAACATTTTTATTCAAGTATATAGAACATGACATGTCTTCAAAAGTTATTTTATATTGGAGGTTACAACTAGTTATATATATACTTTTGGTACCTAATTTAAGTAGTCTACTTATACATTGTTATATAAGTTCTATACTAGATATTATACCTGCAAGTCAACTAAGAGTTTTGTTTATTTAAACTTTTTGCATATACAATCCTTCTTATATTATAAGAATATATTCAAAATTACACCAATCCAAGTTCCTAATACTAGTTAGTATCCTTAGGACTATTTTATCCTTAATAAAAAACTTACTAAAATCTTTATATCTTATATATATTGATCTAGTTTTATACAATATATTATAGTTATTTAATATTTGCAATTATAAAGATTATCTGTTTTATCTGGTTTGGGAGCTTGGTGGAACTTGAATTGAATACCAAAGTAGTAGGAATATGTTGTGAAGTCAGTACCGGGCTTGGGGTAAACTCTACAAGAGCATAGTAGTTAAATGGTACGCCTTGACCACCAGTGTTGGTCTCAATCATAGTGATATCAGGTCAGCTGTAAGAATGGAATACAGAAGATTCTAGAAGGTTAGTACAAGGTCAAAGGTTTCTCATGTGAGTGAACCGCTTTAAAAACTTAGTGACCATGGCATATTTGAACTAGTATCGACTGGGGCATCTTGGTAAGTGTAGGTAGGTAGGTGGATATGAGAACAGAATGGTTAAATAGGGAACTTACAAGTAGGTTTCAGGTATAGCAGCTAGTGTAGAACCTTCGGGCAGACTACTTAAATTAGACAATGACTAAAGTTGTACAAGT